GTCCTGCTGGCCACACTAGTGCTGATCCAAGCCAAGATGCTGGTGGCCTTCTTGGCCACCTGGGCACACACTGGCTCATCTCCCAGCCTGCTCTGAAGGTCCTACCTGCAAGCTCCACTTGCAGCCTACAGAGGTCTGGGGAGGAGTTACAAGAATTAGATCTTCTCTGATGCCTCGTGCCAGAAACTGACACATTAAAAGGGAGAAAGCTTTAAAATGGACATACTGACACAAAAAAATGAACCTCAGACGTGGGTAACAGTGTAAACACACAACACAGGGGCTCTGGCAGCAGAGCTGGCTTCAGAATTGGACATCACTCCACTCCTCCACCATAAACCAGAGCAGGGGGGCTGGACCCTGCCCCTCACTCAGCCTGTCAGAACCCAGCCCAGTGTCCCCCTGGGCCTGAAAGGTGTCAGCAGGGGCCCAGGATGGGGCCTATCTGATGGGAGCTCCCCTCTGCTCCCTGCAAGCCACCTGCAGAACCTGACACACCTCAAATGACCCATCTGCCCTCACCATTACTCAGCCTGAGGTTTAAAAATGACAGCCTGGACTTGATGAGCACTATGGGAGCTCTGACAAACAACATTCCTCCTTCCTGCTCTGCTGGGAGGGTGGCTGAGCCTGGAGCAGCTGCCCAGAGAGGCTGTGGAGTCTCCTGCTCTGGAGAGATCCCAAACCCACCTGGCTGTGACCCTGGGCACCCTGCTGTGGGTGAGCTGCTGGAGCAGAGGGTTGGGTGAGATGATCCCCAGAGGTCCCTTCCAACCCCATCAGTCTGGATTCTGCCATGGCTGCCCAGGGACCTGGACAGCACAGCCAGGCTTCTCCCCAAACAGAGGCATCAGCCCTGGCTGAGGACCTGCCACTCCCTTCCCCTCCACCCTAAAAGGTCACATGTCACCCCCACCCATCCCATATGTTGGCTCCCAGCAGCAAGGAAGGGGCATTCCTCAGGATGGACCCTGGAACACCCTCAACCTGAGCAGAGAAAGGCCTGGATCTGGTGTGCAGGTGCCACCCGTGCCTGCTGCAGGCAGTGTCACAGAGAAGGACACTTTGGCAGAGTGGGGGAGAAAATGAGGTGACCTGTGGGACAAGGGGAAACAGGAGTTCTTTCTCTAGGCTGTGTGAGGACTGTTCTGCCTCCAGTTTCAGGTGGGGGATCTCAAAAGGGCAAAGGCATTTATGGTTCCTAAAGCATCAGGTGGAGTATCTGAAAGGCATTTTTATGGCTAATAAAACAACTCTCCCAGCACTGAGCAGCGGGGTCCTGAGCCCAACACCTCTGATCACCTGGGCTGCCCCTCCAGCAGCGTGGG